CCCTGTGGCCAGCCACTAAATCTCTCAACAGGTAATATCACCAAGCCAGGTAGCGTTTGGGCAAGAAACATGCTTCAATTTGAAGAAAATCAAGTTGCTAAAAGTGAAGACTCTTTTCTTATTGTTTACCAACATCTCTGAGAAACTTGATAGACCAAACAGCATTCTTACAAAAGGACTACCAGAAACTATCTGAACGCTCTGGTCCGTACCTGGTGGGAATCAGAACTGACCCAGCTGAGCGGCGGCGGCGTCCTTGCGTGGGCTCCTAGAACAGCCTCCCTGAGTTCCCTCTCCACACTCTCTCCCACCCCCTACCCCATTCCTCCCACTACTTTCTTTCTGGGCTCCTCCTGAAGAAGGAGGTTCTGCAGTGATTCTCAGCTGGGGACACCCAACAATATCTGAAGACATTTCTGGTCATCAAAACTGGGGAACAGGATGCTACCAGCATCTGCTGGGTAAAGGTCAGGGATGCCACTAAAGATCTCACGGGTCACAGGACAGTAAACACTCAAATAACTATCTGCCTCTAAATAAGAATTGCCGAGGTTGAGCAACCCAGAGTTACTGGAAGGATGGGATGCAGGCAGAAATGGAACGTGGGAGCTTGCCAAACTCAAGTTCACAGGACACGGCAATCAATGCTCCTGGGCTCCCCGAAGGAGCACAGCACTCTGGCCAGCCAGGGAATCTGAGTCCTGGGAAAGGCTCTGGAAAGAAGGGTGGGAACACACTAACCAGCAGCCCTTCCTACCTCAAGAGAAAGCCTAGCCTCACAGTTCTGCAAAAACTAGCTGTCTCCAGGCTAGGAGGATGAAAACTGTGGAGGTGATTTGGATGTTGATGGCTTATGAGACAGACATTGAGAAATGGTTAAAATGGTCAATTTTAATATATATTTAATTTAATATATATTTATATCATATATATTTAATATTTAAATTAATTTAAATATATATGTTTTGTAGGACATATATATCCCACAAAAAAAACCAGGCATAACACTCACTATCCTGGCCTTCCTCCTGTTCCCCTTCAGAGAAGCCTCTCAGGCAGCATTAGGAGTGGGTATGGATGTCTAGAAGGCCTACCTATCCTCTCAAGGCTCTAGGATGGACTTAGGACAAAGAACAAGCAGTCATTATCTCAACCAAGAATGGTTCTAAGATTACTGTATCACTTCAGGAGTCTTCATAACCAGACTATAGGTACTCTGAACTCAGTGAGGAAACGGAGGCTTGAGGAGATGAGGTGCTTTGTCCAGGGCTACCCAACAGGGTTCAAAGCCACGTCCTGTGCCCTGCTTGAGGACAACTGGCTGCCTTGGGTCCCGATGAGCCCTTGACCTGCCATGCCCCATCCCGTCCTGCTGGCTTCCTCTACCCACACGATTACACCCTAGATGCTCAGGCCCTGAAGCTCTGGGAGAAGGTGATATATCCTCTATTCTGAGTGGGGCTAAGGGATAACAGGCAGCTTGTTCAAACTATTTTCCTAATAAAAATTCAGATCACCTCACTAGCCATTAAACCACATTGAGATTCTATGTCATCCCCTGTCAGAATAGCAGCCACAAAAACAAAACAAAACAAAACAAAACAAAACAAAAAAAAAAAAAAAAAACAGGGGCTGGAGAGATGGCTCAACAGTTAAGAGTACTAACTGCTCTTCCAGAGGACCTGGTTTCAATTCCCAGCACCCACATGGCAGCTAACAATTGTCTGTAACTCCAATTTATATCTAACACCCTCACACGGACATACATGGAGTCAAAATACCAATGTACATAAAATAAGAATAAATCGATTATTTAAAAAAAAAAAGAGACAACAAATAATGGTACGGATGCAGACAAAACGGACCACTATGCCCTGTTGGTGGAAATGTAAACTAGTAACCGCTGTGGAAGTTAGAAGGGAGGCATCTCAGACAACTAACAGTAGGTCTACTGCATGGCTCGGCTGTACCACTGGTGGGTATCTACTGGAGGAACTCTGAGTCAGCATATCACAGAGACACTTGCAACACTATTCACAACAGCTAAATTACAAAACGAATCAAGTTTGTTGTTGACAGGCAAGTGCATGGAACCAGTGATGCCCGTATTAACTGAATCAAGCCAATCTCAGAAAGAAAACACCGTATGTTTTCTCTCATTTGTGGTTCCTAGATTTTAGAAGTATACAAAATTGTATACAGACACATGACATGAAGTAGAAGTGAAACTATAGGGTATAAAAGACTACTGGAGGGGGAAGAACAGGGAAGAGGAGAGCAGGGGGGTGGGAGAAATATGCTTAATAGCTGCATGAAATTCTTTTTTAATAATAATTTTTTAAAATATGGGCTTTTCTTCCACCTAGTAGATGCTAGTTATTCCCAAAAGGCAGATAGCAGGACCCTCCTAAGGTAGGAAAGAGCTGCCAAGCAGTCCCTGCCACTGGCAGTCCCCAGCATGATTATTTAGGCTTGCTTGGAAAAGACAGCATGGTTACATGCGAAAGTCTCACCTAAGAACTAGAACAGGAACCACCTCCTCACTCTGCAAGCAATGAGCACATACAAAGGTCTTGGCAGTGCTGATCTCGCCATCAGGGAGATCATAGGACAGAGGGCAGGATCCACACAGGATCCTTTCGGTAAAAAAAGGAATCAGCAAGTTGGGCAGTGGTGGTACACACCTTTAAACCTAGCACTCAGGGAGGCAGAGGCAGGTGCATCTCTGTGAGTTCAAGGCCAGCCTGGTCTACAGAGTGCATTCCAGCCCAGCCAGGGCTACACAGAGAAAAGAAAGAAAGGAGGGAGGGATGGAGGGAGGGAGGGAGGGAGGGAGGGAGGGAGAAAAGAAAAAAAGAATCAGCAGCAAGGAGGACATCAGTGCAACCCAGAGAGTTCTAACCAGCCCATAACTCAGGGCTCATCAGCAAACACTCAGGAGAAACAAAAGTTCCCAGCCACAGGGGCAGTCGAGGGGCAGGTCCTTGGGAGAAAACTGGAGGCTCCCTGTGGCCTACTCTGGAAGCAGCTCTAGCACAGACCAGAACGGGCACATGTGGAAGGAGAGATTCAGCTGTGGAGCCACAGTAAGCCTGGGGCAGACCAAGGAGGCTTCCTGGTTCTATTCTGAGTTCCAGCCTTGACTTACTAGGGGTTTGGGCGAGCCGTTTCCTGTTGTTCAGGCCAATTTCCTCCTGCTTGGGAGGCCATGGTGCTGCTTAGGTCCAGGGAAGAAAGATTTAAACAGTCTGTCGCCATAGAAGCCTAAACCTTTGGGATTACAATCTTGACTTATTCCAACCAAAGCTGAATATGGGTCTACTTAATGAGCCTTTATCAGTTATCATTTTTCTCCCAAATATTTATTCTACAAAATTAGTTATTTTTATTCAGGAACACTGAATGCCCTTTTACCAACAAAGGTACTAAAAATGGTTTGTGGTTGAGGAACTTCCTCTCCATGTTTTTGTTTTTTTTTTAAAAGAAGAAGTGAGAGTAACCAAACCAGGGTCTTTCCCATTCATCCCAGCAGAGACTTTGTGTGCTGAGCCCTCTAGGAACCATGTACTTGGGTCCTGAGACCCAAGAAGGCATGGCATAGGACAGATCCTTGGCCTCACTCTAGCAGCAGCATGTACCGTGACAACAGTTGCTACCAAAAGGGCCAGGATCCTGGACACCACAGCCGCATTGCAGCTTTTATGTCTCCTCTGCTCATTCTAGATTGGAGTCAAGGGACTAATGTGTTATTTGACCTTCCCAGGGTTCCTTTCTTGTAACAGAGAAGTCTCCAGGCCTCCTCATCTCCGAGCCCAGTGCTTTTTACTGTGACCATCCCAGAGTCACATGACTCAAGCCCTGACTGCTAAGCCACTTACCAGATTTCTAGCAGAGCTGGCCTGGGGTGGAGGCCTCTGCACCTTCACGTCTCCACAGTCAACAACATCAAAGTTACTCTTCCAAACCATCACCTGCCAAGACCAACAGGCACAGAGAATGAGGGGAGAAAATGGGCCCATAAATCAACCCCAAAGTTCTGAGCCACAGTAGTTCCCATCTCATACCTCAACTCAACTCTGGGACCCACATCCCTGAGGAGTAAGCTTTGGGGACAAGCCTGTGTGGCACCAGGACTGAGTATCATCATGTAGCCATGTAGCACAATTAGGGCTGAGCACCTGCTTGTCTCTCTACCTGAGTGTCACAGATGTCTCAATGGCAGAATCACTATTTAATCCATTTGTTCCCTGTCCTCATTTATCATCTGTCTCTCTGAAAAAGAAGCTCTTGAGGGTGGGTGGCCTTGCTCATGACACTGTGGGAAGTAGTGAACATAAACTCCAGGCCACACCACAGGGTTAATGTCCTGTCTCCACCCCTTACTGCAGCAGTTTTCAACCTGCGGGTGGAGACCTCCTTGGGGGTCTTTCACAGGGGTTGACTATCAGATATCCTGCATATCATGTGATTCACAATAGTAGTAGATTTACAGTTATGAAGTAGCAATGAGAATTTTATGGCTGGGGGTCGCCACAGCATGAGGAGCTGTTTTAAAGAGTAGCACTGAGCGGTGCATGGTGGTGCGTGCCTTTAATCCCAGCACTCGGGAGGCAGAGACAGACAGACCTCTGTGAGTTAGAGGCCAGTCTGGTCTCCAGAGCGAGTGCCAGGATAGGCTCCAAAGCTATACAGAGAAACCCTGTCTCAAAAAACAAAAAAACCCCAAAAAACAAAAAACAAAAACAAAACAAAACAAACAAACAAAAAAAGAGTAGCACTGTCAGGAAGGCTGAGAACCACTGGCTTACTTTGAAGCCTAGGTGAGGGATTCAGCCTATGCCTAGTGCCCTCTTCTTTGAAAAGATCCCAGCTCCTGCCTCACAGGGCTGCAGGGAGGCTCAAACGACACAGTGTAACCCAGTCATTGGCACCAGGGAATGGATGCTAACACACTCATTATCCTAAGCCTAATATGTTTAACAGTGAAAAACATACTCTTGGGGCTGGAGAGATGGCTCAGCAGTTAAGAGCATTGCTCTTCCAGAGGACCTGTGGTTCAATTCCCAGCACACACATGGCAGCTCATAACTGTCTGTAACTCCAGTTTCAGGAGATCTGACCCCTTCACACAGACATGCATGCAGGCAAAACACCAATACACATTAAATAAATATTCTTAAAAAAAGAAAGAAAAAGAAAAACATACTCTTAGCCAGGTGAGGTAGTACAAACACTGGAGGTAAAGGCAGGAAAATCTGTGAGTTCAAGGCCAGGTTGGTCTACATAGGTCACCCAGAACTACAGAGTGAGACCCAGCCAATAGATAGATAGATAGAGTGGCTTTGGTGGTTAAGAGCACTGGCTATTCTTCCAAAGGACTCATGTTTGAGTCCCAGCACAGCTACTAACAACCTCTGTAATCCCAGTACCAGGGGATCTGACGCCATCTTCTGGCCTTCACAGGCACTATATGAAATGTGGTGCACAGACCTACATGCAGGCAAAACACCCATACACATTAAAAACAACAAAAAAAGAGTTGGCCAAGAAGTGATGGCACACACCTTTAATCCTAGCACTTGGGAGGCAGAAGAAGGTGTTCTCTATGAGGCCAGCCTAGACTACAAAGAGAGTTCCGGGATAGCCAGAGCTGTTGTTATACAGAGAAATCCTGTCTCGAAAAACCAAAAGAAAAAAAAGTTACACATAAAAAATTTCAAATAAGGAGCTGGAAAGATGGCTCAGAGGTTAAGAGCACTGGCTGCTTTTCCACAGGTTCTGAGTTCAATTCCCGGCAACCACATGGTGGCTCACAACCATCTATAATGACATCTGGTACCCTCTTATGGCATCCATGCAGGAATTTTTTTTTTAATTTCAAATAAGTAATCAACCACACTCAGTATCTTCTTAAACAGGATAATGCCTGAAGGCACTTCCACAAAACCTTAGGAACAAGAGCACTCCCTACTGGTGACTAGAAGCCACAGGAGGCTGGCTGCTTCTAGGGTTACCTTCAGAATGGCTGGCCTGGCCATCATAGGAGGAGTCATACAACATGACCAACAGTCAATGGAAGCCAATGAGCCCACAAAAAAATTAAACCAAATAAACAAAAAAAGAAAAAGAAAAAACAACCCACCACTATATCACCCAAGATGAAAACTTGACATGCCCTAGACACTATCCCCAATGGGACACAGCAGATGAAGGCTTCTCACCACTCCCTGAGCAGTCCCACTGTTTATAGCTCCCAGAGGGATGGGGCACATGGGTATCTCATTTATCACTTTACAAACAGAATGTTGGCATATGCATACTCCATACAAGGTCCTTGTATAAGCATGGAGACCTAACATCCCTCACAGCAGTAGCCAGCATAAAGCAGAGATAACACCAAACACCCCAGAAAAACATGAGCAGATCTAAAAGATCTGGGAGCTGACAGTCTCACTGTGTGAAGATGGCCATGCCAGGTGGAAGTTTCCCCAGGCTGCCTCTTGTGCTACGTGACTCCATTTTAGCATGGCTATTTAACATGTACATCCGCCACACAGTTAACATGCGCAGCTGCCATACAGTTCCCGCTTTCCACACTCACTGTAAGCAGTGATCAAGGCTCTCTTTTACCTTCATCCTCTTTGGCTCTTAGCTGGGACCCAGTGCTGGGGTGGGAAGATACATGCTGGCTGTTATCCAGGCTATGGACACAGAACCTTTAGCTAGCCTCTGCTTTACTGGGAAATTGGCACATTTCACTGCAGCTGGGACTCATGGAAGGCCAACAGGATTTGTCTAGGCTGAGCAGCAGAGCTGTGAGGCCGGTACCCAGATGGGTGTTCTCATCAATCCACCAGATCTCCTGTGTGCACACCACTGCTCTTTCCTCCAGAAACAGAAGACTGTGCAGATACTCTGGGAGACTGCTGACAGGTGCAGTCCTCAGTGCTCCATAGCTCTCCTGAGCCAGGCTTTGAGCCAGCCCCCAAGGTCAGAGCACCCCCACCCCCAGCAGATAAGCCCTTGGTATTTTGCAGTCTGGACAAAGAGGCACAGGGCAGGCAGGATGAAACCTCAGTGCAAAGGGCGATGAGGCAGGGTAGGACAGGACTTCTCTCTGCAGCCAAGAATACAAAAAATGCTGACCCTTTAGACATGCAGAGGCCGGGAAGCAAAAGGCAGCAGAGAATAGAGTAGAGGCTCCCAGGGAAGAACCAAGGCTGAGCAGCCATGTGGGTTCAGTGCTTGTCCCTGTCTCTGCCACCAGCTGGGACTATTTTCTCATCTATAAGAATAAAATAGGAAGACTTGCCCCACAGGACTCAGGAGAACTAAATGAGCTTTGAAACTCTTGCTATACTGACAGCATTACCAGATCTGCAGAAAGTACCCAATAATTCTTCACTCTTTATGTAATCAGGGAAAAAAAAAAAAACCTGAACATCTTCAGCTTTTTCACAATGATAATTAGCTCAAACTCTTTCTACCCCATTCTAGTCTGAGACACTTTCGCAGGTCATCCCTGAAGGAGACTTGCCTTGGACCTGAGCACACTCCCCGCCTCGCTCCCCCAAGGTCCATCATAGTGTCTTCACCATGGCTGTAGTCACTGAAGGCTACTAAAGGCTACTAATGGCCCCCAACCTTTTGAGCAGGATCAGCTCAGATTTCTTAGGCCATTCTTTTCTTACCTGCTCATCAGCGCCTCCAGAAGCAAAATACTCCCCAGTTCTTGAAAAGGCAACAGTGGTGGCAGGTCCCTAGCAGAACAAACAGAATAAACGCCAAAGGTTAGCTGGACATGGTTAACACACCAGTGATCCCAGTACTTGGGAGGTGGAGGCCCGGAAATCAGGAATTCCAGGCCAGCCTGGCTTACATAAGACCCCATCTCAACACACATCTTACAACCCCCTCCAAAAAGGTCGCTCCAAGTGTAAACGTAGTTCCTGAATGACAGCAGCAATGGGACAAAGGTCTGAGCACCCGTCCTCCTTAGCCGGTCCTGCTTTATGAGTCCTCCTTAGCCATTCCTGCTTTATGATACACAGTAGTGACCGTGCTTTATCAGAGCTGTTTTTAATGATGCTGCTCAGAATGGTTTCCTCCCAGATTTAAAAAAAAAAAAAAAGGGTGCCAAGTACCACAAGAGTAACAGAACTGTGCTGTCTTCTGGGATTTTTGTTTTTTACTTTTTTGTGTAGTTGTTGTTTGTTTGTTTTTTGTTTTTTTAAATGGAGAGTGCTGGATGTCTCTACATATATATATATATATATATATATATGCTAATTGAAACTCAAAAAAAAAAAAAGAAGCTTGCTGGAACTCTTCTTCCAAACATCTCAACAAAGGCTGAGCTGTGGGATCAAGGCTGGGCAGACAGAGGGAACAGGACATTCACACTGGCTGTCTGACCAGGCAGGCATCATTTTCACAGTTTCCCTAATGAGAAGCAAGAGGTCAGAGATGCACAGCTGAGATCAGCACTCAAGAGCTCTATTGCAGGCCCAATGGTAGCCCAGAGAAGTGGGAGCCCCAAGGAGAAGCCAATAGCTCAAACAAACAAGGCAAAACCAGAGGTCTGAACAACAGGAAGGAGGCTGAGAAGGGAATTAGTGAAGGTGCCTGGGGAGTGGAACAAAATGACATCAGTGTCCCTGCAGTGTGCATGTCATTTTTCCTTAAGTTTGGGCCTTGCAGAGCGAGCGCAATGTGCTTCTCTGGCTTCCTAGGTACAAAAGGTCAGCGTGACCATGTAGAGGGGAATTCCAAGTGCATGCTAGGCAGCATTCTCCAACAAGCACACCCTGGTTGGGAGGGGATCGTGAGCTCCCAGTGGAGAAAGAATATTCCTCCCCATATGCCTGGAATCCACTCCAGAAAGATATGCCAAGCAAGGACCTGGTCACAGTCACAGGTGCAGCCCTCTCCCTTCCAGCTGAATGTTTCCCAGGGCCAGTAGCTGGCATTCTGCAGGCAAAACCAGATCAAAGTTCTCTCTTAGATCTGTCACAAAGGCCACCTCAGTTCTTCTAGACCACCAGAATGTAACAAGAACTGCCCACAGAAGGGGCTTTTAGCACCAGAGCCCAGGCTCTAGAGACAAGGGGAACACAGCAAAGCACCCTGCGCTTGGTGCTAGGAAGGACCACCATGGCTTGGGCTGGAAAGAGACCTCATAGCTACAAGCAGCTTCTCTTCAGGTGACAAGCAGTCAGCATGCTTCCCTGCTCAAGCACCTGAGCCTGAAGGGAACACCTGCTCTTGCTTCCAGAACCCACTTCTAGTGCCACCTCTCAGAGGTGCTCACAATGGGGTGACGAGACAGAAGGAATTCCACATGGCCAGCACTGGCTCAGAGCCCTGCACCTGTACTAACCCACCTAATCCCTAGAGGACAGCGTGTGCCTTACCATTCCAAGCTGGGGGAAACAAAGCCCAAGAGGACACAGTACAAAGCATGTTTGTCTTGTCACCTCCCTTCTCTACACAAGTGGATTCACAGGCTTAGGTCTACCCTCCCCCAGCAGCCCCAGGAATTCTAACCTACCATTAACCAAGATAAAGTGGACCCGCTTTTACTGATAGGGAACAATACCCACTCACATCCACGAACTACAGTGTCAAACACCGGGTGCGAGGCATAATGGGCCATGTGACTCCATTTTGAGAGACACTGGCTGCATTTGCAGAGAGTGGAGTGGGGAAACGTTCCTTCCAGGGGACAGTTGGCAGGGGTTTACAAGACTGTTGGAGGAAGGGGATACACTTTCAGAGAACAGCTACTGGACTCTTGGCAGTCTTGACAATCTTCATACTTGGAACTTTTTAATGAATGTATGGCAATGCTATAATAAAAAAATAAGACAACAAAATGCTTTTCATTTTGTGGGAAAAGACAAAGAGGAAGGAAGAAAAGGGAAAGAAACCAGTGCACGGAGTTGCAAAAGCAGACAGGCCCTTTGCCCACCCAGAACTCATGGGAAGAGCTCCAAGAAGGGCCATCAACAAAGGAAGCAAACACACACTTGTGGCTCACTCTCATTGCTTGTCATCACTCAACCACCAGATGCCAAGCTGGGAACAAGATGTCAGCAGCAATAACAGCAGACTTTGGAGAATGCACCCAGCTTACAGGGGGATTAGGCCAGAGGGCAGGTGCTAACGTTCTGGCACTTTCCCAGGAGATCAAGTCTCTCTGGAAACTCAAGGATAAGCAAGAAACCAGAAGGCTCTGTGGGGCCCACACTCCTCCCCAGTAGTGCCTGTTTACTAAGAGCAGCAAGGCTCTTGTAACCAGGAGCCTCTGCATTCCTAGAAAGAATAGCGCTCATCAGAGGCTAGTCTGCCCAGAGCCCAAGCAAACAGCCTGGGTGCTCGGTGCATCCTGTACTCTCATCAGATCGTATCATGTCAAAATCACATAGTGACGTGTTTCTCTGTCAGACTGTGACCACACACACCAGGCCCTCCTTCCTGTGCTGATGTGTTGTGGGGCTTGCTCTCAGGGCCTGGACAAGCAGCCTCCATTGATCTTGTCCTTCCCCAACATTCTAGCCTACTCTACTGATCCTCAAAGGCAAAAAAAGGTCTCTTTCTCAGTGTTCCTTCTGGAGCTCCAACACTGAGCTCTTCAGTCATTTTTACTCTTCCTTCATTTTAAATAAACTAATTTAAGGCTACAAATTTGTCTCTGACACCACCTCAGCCAGATCCCAGAAGTTTCTAGTCTGCAACACTTGCACTGCCATTCCCTTCCAAATTGTCAGTTCTGACTCAAGTTCTTCTTTAGGCCATCAGTTATTTGAAGTGAATGAATCTAAGGGTTCCGAGCCAAGGGAACTTGGGGTGTTCCTTTCTGACAGTGTCAGTGATCAAATGCAATGTTCTAGCTTCGTGGCCGCCTATTCCTTTCATTTCATTAATCACCCTGATGCACTGGAGGCCAGCTCCAGGCAAGGATGTTGCCTGGTTCTTTCACCCCAAGGCTAGGCCTATCCTTGGTGTCCCACAGGGACTCCTGAGTGTGATTTGAGCATCGTCTCTCACTGGGCCTTCAGCAGTGTAGATTCCAGTTGCACTGCACACCCAGCAGCAGAGTGGCAACCTGCTGGCGACCCTGTCCCTTGTCTACTCCCGACCACATCCATGCAGATGTCTCACAAGCTCAACTAGAGCCCCTCCCCTTCCCTGAAGATCTGCGAGAGATGAGAGATCCTTCTTGATCTGCATGAACACGGCCCACACATGGTGTCCTCCCTATCCTCCTGACCCTGTCATTTCACCGCATGCCTCTTCCCCTTGTCAATTTCCAGACTCACAGAATCTACACTGCAATTTTTTCTCTACATTTCTTTCATTTTTTAGCATGCAAACACAGGCACCATGGCACACATGTGGGAGTAGGAGGGCAACTTGCAGGAGTCAGTTTGCCCTTCTACCATACAGGATCTGGGTATAGAACGCAGGTCCTCATGGGGCTGGAGAGATGGCTCAGTGGTTAAGAGTACTGATGGCTGCCGTCTTTGTACACTGGTGTACAAAGCTGAATGGCCAATAGCTAGGCAGGATTTTCAGGCACAGAGAATACTGAAAAGAACAGTGGAGACACCAGGAGATGCAGAGCAAGTCGGATGGGCACTATGGAGATGAGGTAATAAAGCCACGAGGCAGAAAGTAATTGAAATGGGTTCATTTAAATTATAAAAACTAGTTAGAAACAAGCCTATCCTATTGACTGAGCTTTCACAATAATTAATAGGTCTTTTCATAATTAATGATGTGTCATTATTGGGGAGATGAGAGTCCCAACAAAAAAGTCAGTCTAGAGGACCTAGGTTCAATTCCGAGCATACACATGGAGTTACAACTGTCTGTAACTTCAAGATCTGACACCCTCACACAGACATACATGCAGGCAAAGCACCAACGTACATTTAAAAAAAAAAAAAAAAGAAAGAAAGAAAGAAAGAAAGAAAGAACTCAGGTCATTAGGCATGGCAGCAAGGGCCTTTACTCACAGGTCATCTGGCCAGTTCCTTTAAACAGCAAGCATCAGGCAAAACAAAGAAGCCCATGGTAACTAAGTTAGACTGCACACTCTGATAACCTTAAGCAGCCTGTCCAGATCTCTGGACTCTCCTCACACTTGCCAAACTCTGTGGCACCTGAATTCTGACCATGGTGCCCTAAGAGCTATGGTGGCTGAAGTCCAGCCAGCTACCCTGACACACCACATACTAGTGAACAAACAGGGCTGTCACACCACACAGTCCCCAAGTAGACAAAAAAGCAGAATGGCCATCAGAGATGTGGTAACCAAGGAGGTCAAGGGACTTCTGGTGTGGGTACTTTGGCCTCTGACTTTGTGTGGAAATTCAGTCCAACACACCAGGTGTTTGTATAGTCTGTGTAGGGAGTGCTCCCCGGGGAAAGCAAAGCTCTCTCTCAACCCTGACCCAGGACACCTACTCCCAGCTCTTAACTCTGGATTGCTAAGGGTGACAAAGGGCCAGGCTAACTCTGGGTTTCTTATAATGGCACACATGAGTTACGACTTCCTGTCTTCATGGCCCTTACACTTCCCAGAGGAGTCCAACCAATACCAGGCAAGACCCTACTGACTATCAGAATCCTCCTCCACAACCAAGTGACTGGACAAGGGCTGAGTGCGCTCAAGACACAGGGTGAAGAGACATTCCAGAAGCTTACTTCCCCTGCTGCAGCCCTAGGGGCAGCCCAAGCACCTAAGACTCCTCTC